GGAGAGAATGGAATGATATCTAAGAACAATTTAATGGGCTTAAACCACATTCCAACCACTTCTAACGTCATGGCCCTGGCTGTGAAAAGAATGCTAGACACTCTTGGCTCAAATGGCCTCTGAAGTGGATACAGGTGGACATGAGGCTGAACCCGTGAAGGGTTACGGTTAGGGTCAGAAATACCCTGAAGGCCTTTTTTTTGGCCCCAACCATTTAAATAAAGGAGCACTAACCTCTTTGCAAGGAGGGAGATTGTCCATTTTAGTCCAGAGAAAAAGAGACGTTCTCATAGACTTGAGGGAAGCAGGAATGGAGAACTCCCATTGCTGATTAGGATATAGCAGAACAGTATAACAAAGCTGGAAGGGACCTTTGAGGTCTTCTAATCCAACCCCCTGCTCAAGTAGGAGACCCTATACCATTTCAAACAAGTGGCTGTCCGGTCTCTTCTTTAAACCCTCCGGTGATGGAATACCTACACCTTCTGAAGGCAAGTCATTCCATTGATTGATTGTTCTGACAGGAAATTTTTCCTTAGTTCTAGGTTGCTTCTCTCCTTGATTAGTTTCCATCCATGGCTTCTTGCCCTGCCTTCAGGTGCTTTGGAGAATAGCTTGACTCCCTCTTCTTTGTGGCAACCCCTGAGATATTGGAGGACTGCTATCATGTCTCCCCTGGTCCTTCTTTTCACTAGACTAGCCATACTCAATTCCTACAACTGATCATCATATGTTTTAGTTTCCAAGCTCTTAATCATCTTTGTTGCTCTTCTCAGCCCTCTTTCCAGAATCTCAACATCTTCTATTTACAATCTGGTGACCTAAACTGGATGCAATATTCCAGGTGTGGTCTTGTTTGCTAATTACTATATGCAGCTTGTTCTGCCTTCTGGGTCCCTGTACCTCAAATATGAGAATGCTCAAGAAATGTTCGATATGTAGGAGCCAAACTACATCAGCCCTATAAATCTCTGCAAGATGGAGGGAGGTGGGCAGGATTCCAGCTGGCCCACCTCCAGATGTTTCCTCTCTCTGGAGCATCATGAAAGCCCTGAGATAATTGATGGACAACAATTTGCAGACAGTTGGAGTTGCACTCTCTTCTCTAAAAAGAAGAGACAGAAGATCCTCATGAATCGAACTCCTTGCTGTTGATCTCAGAACTCTGAGAGAGATTTTGTGGCATCTCCAGTTTTCCTAAACTAGATTTCAAGTTTCCATCCATCATTTCTTGTCCTGCCTTATGATGCTTTGGACACTAGTAATTGTTACTAGCTAGTAACAATTACTACCAACCTGCCACAATTACTACCCCCCTGCCTTCCATTGAAGACCTGCATACTGCATGAGTCAAAAAGAGAGCTGTGAAAATATCTACAGGCCCCTCACATCCCGGACATAAACTGTTTCAACTCCCTCCCTCAAAATGACGCTATAGAGGCCTGCACATCAGAACAACTAGACACAAGGACAGATTTTTCCCTAATGCCATCACTCTGCTAAACAAATAATTCCCTCAACACTATCCAACTATTTACAAAGTCTGCACTACTATTACTGTTAATCTTCTCATCATTCCTTATCACCCATCCCCTCCCACTTGTGACGGTATGACTGTAAGTTTGTTGCTTGTATCCTTAGGATTTATATTGACTGTTTCCTAGTATGATTTGATTACTTATTGTACCCTCTGACTATTATTAAGTATTGTACCTTAGGATTCTTGACTCTTGACGAATGTATCTTTTTTTCATATACACTGAGAGCATCTGCACCAAGACAAATTCCTTGTGTGTCCAATCACACTTGGCCAACAAAGAATTCTATTTTAGCTTGACTCCCCTCTTCTTTGTGACAGCCCCTTAGATATTGGAACAGTGCTATCATGTCCCCTTATTCCTCCTTTTCTCCAGACTGATCATACTGCAACTGTTTTTCATATGTTTTAGCCTCTAGTTCCCTAATCATCTTTATTGCTCTTTTCTGCATTTTTCCAGTGTCTCAATATATTCTTAATAATACGGCGACCAAAACTAGAAGACAGCTGTCATGTCACCTCTAGTCCTTCTTTTCACTACTGTTAGATGCACCCAATTCCTGAAAATGCAGTATGAACTCGGATGTCCCATCTTTTAAAAACCAAGGTTCACATAGACCTTGGAGTGAAAGAGCCACCCCCCCTCAAAAAAAGACCTTCCCCAACCTGAATCAATAATAATTGATTTATTGGTTTTCCGGTTTGTCGGCTTCGCGAGCGGCAGGGATTTGCGAAGCTGCGCGATCCCTGCCGCGCTAGCCGTTTTTGGGGCTCCGACCCAGCCGGGTACGGAGCTAGGCTGCCCTGCAGGGGCAGCTGAAGGTAGGGGGGATCCGGAGAAGGGTTTGGGGGTGCTGCAGACCCCTTCCCTGGCCGGCAGAACCCCCTTTTCCCAGGACGGTGCAGCGGCGGTCCGTAATGGCCGCCACAAAGAAGCTGGCAGCCGGGTAAGAATGCGCAGGAGGAAGTGGAGAAAGTGATTGAGAGGAGAAAGTTTTTCTTGGCTCCTAGGACTCTAAGACATATTTAATAAAATTCCTGAAAAGTATGACTTTCTGAATAATACCTGCCAGAAGAGGAAAAAAGCGGCTGTTGGAAGGTGCTGAAAGGATAGCTTTCCCTCTTTTCCTACGGAATAAATAACTGGATATTAAGAAACCTATTTTTTTAGGTGGAAATTGGTTTTAAGCGATGAGTGGGAAGAGAGAGGATTAAAAAGAAAATATTTGTATGCTAAGATTTGTTGGAGCAGATGCCTTAAGGATTTGAAGACTAGAATATATTGTAACAAGACTTTAAACAGATTTGGACTTTCTTTCTCTTTGATTGATATCACCCCAGAAGGAGAAAGTGAGAACTCTGCCTTGGTTTGGACTGATTGATAACTTTGGGATTGTTTTATCTTTTTTATTTTCTTTTGAATATTCTGGTTGTTGTAAGAAGAAAGAAGGAGAAAAGAAAAGAAAAGATTTATAATGGCTCTTTCTGTTGAGGAACTAAGAAATGGTGTGGAAGAAGCTTTCCTTTTCTTAGAAATGGCGCTTACTAATTATCAACAAAAATTACAACAGATGAAGACAGCAGAGGAACAAGAAAGAAAGGAAGGAGCCATCTTTAATGAATCTCAGAATTTGATCCAGAAAAAAGGAAGAGAGAAAGAAAAGAAAAGAAGAGAAAAGAAGAAAACTAAAGGATTTAAGGACTTAAGATCTAAAAAAACATTTAAGAAAGGGAAAAATAAAGTGCAAAACCAATATGATGATTGTAAACAAAGGGGGAAAGAAATACGACAGAGAAGGGAAGCCGGTAAGGCAGAGGCTAGAAGAAGGGGGGGTAGAAAGGTTTGTTGGGAAAAGAAAGAAAGGGAAAAGGTGGAGAAAAGCTACAACGTTTTGAAATTAAATGGAAAAAAGGAATTTTTTATGGATAATGGATAAAGTATAATTTAAAAAAAAAAAAAGATTTTGCAAGGTACATAAGATGAGATGGTAGTATTGCAATGGTTTAAGAGTTGATAAGAGATTAAAATGTTAAAATGTTTAAAAATGATTGGTTTTAAAACTTAATAATAGGAGAGGTTTAGAATATTGTTTTAATTAAAGAGTTTAATAAAATTATGGTATTGATGTTATTATAAAATTTTTATTATAGTATTTCTTTTTAATATTTGGATTTATTCTCTAATTATGCACTTAATTGTGTTGGATGTATTAGTTAGATAGAATGTACCAAGCAAAATCTGATTGGGTATTAGATATTATTTTAAAGATTAATTTGATTAACTTAGGGGGGAGATAGAAAGGCATCATACTCTGATTAATGATTTCAGGAGAAACTGATTTTCTTTTTTTTCATAAGGGATGAGACAAAGGGATGATAAAAAATGGACAAAAAGATACAAATATAATGATTTAAACTAAGATGATTAATTAAGGTAGAATTAGGAAGTGTGAAATATGTGGAGAAGTTAATATAGAAGGCTTAGAATGGTAAATAAAATAAGTAATGATATGTAAGATGAGCATGAATATAATTGAAGTCCATGAAGGAAGAGACACCTGGGTCCAAGTTACTTTCCAAAAAGATATTTTTTTAATGTTTTGTGTGTTGTGTGTATATGTCTTTTTTGGGGGGAGAATTGGTAAAAACTTGTAGAAATATAGAATGAGAATAATGGTAACTAAGTCAGAAAGAAACAGATGAAATAATAATAATGATATTGAATAAGAGTAAAGAGAAGTAAAGAGAAATTGAATAAGAGGTTTTGGTATATTATATGGAAATGGTTTAAAACAGAATCATAATTTATCTGACTTGTTAAATTTACAAGGGAAAAAGGTTTAAACATGTAATGAATAATGATAATTTGTGTGTTTTAAAAATTAATAAAACTTGTTTTAAAAAAAAAAAATAATAATAATTGATTTATTTATTTATTTTTATTTATGTATTGGATTTGTCAATCGCTTACAAAATAATAGGTATAAGTATAAACATGAGTAAGAATACAGGAAATAGGTACGAATGGGGACAATAGGACAGGGATGATAGGCACGATGGTGCACTTATGCATGCCCCTTAATAATAATAATTATTATTATTATTTAATAATGTAATTATTATTTATTTTATTATTAATTAATATTATTATTATTTATAATTAATTATATAATATTTATATATTTATATGATTAATTAATTAATATTATTTATAATTAATCAATTAATAACATTATTTAATAATAATAATAAACCACATCTACATTCTAATTCTACTTATTGTTATTGTTATTATTCTCCATGTTTTATGAATAAAGCATAGAATTAGAATGAAGACGTGAATGTTTCCCCAGGAGATTCTGGAGCCAGAGAAACCAAGAGGGAAAAGGGGCGGGGCCGAGGGGAGTGACGTAACCAGAAACAGCGCCCGGTGGAGTCTCCCGCCACTTTCCGTAGCCGGAGGTCCGTTCCCCCACTTCCGTTTCCGCCGGCGGTGGCTATGGCGCGAAGGTGGGCTCCGGGGAAACCTGGGCGGGGGGTGGGGGGGAAATGGTCGGGCAGGTGGGATCGGGCGGCCGAGGCCTCCCCTGTGACCGCTGCGCTTCCCCGACAGGAGCGGCCGGAGCGGGAGGGCGGCCCCTGCAGACCTGTTCCAGGAGAGCGACGGGGGTGAGTCGGGGAGCGAGGAAGGAGGGGAGCGGGGGGGGGAGGGCGGGGGTCTCGGCGACGGCCTGACGAGCCCCCCCACCTCTCTCCCCGCCCGCAGACGAGGACTTCGCCGCGCCGCCGAAGAAGGCTCGCCCCGCCGGGAAGAGGTGAGGCAGAGAGAGAGTGTGAAGAAGGCTGTGTGAAGTTTAGGAAGAGGTTTCTATATTGTATATGATTTTATATGTGTGTGTGTGTGTCTGTAAGTGTGTTCATCTAGGTATAGATAGATGCATATATGTGTGTGTGTGTGTGTTTACATATATGTATGTTCATATATATAGATATAGGTTTGATATATACATATATATGTATATATAGATATGTGAGTATTGTATATGAATATGTATGAATATACATATATGTGTATATTGTATGTGAATATATATGTATATGTATGAATATACGTATATTGTGTGCATATTTGTATATTGTATATGAATATACACACACACACACACACACATGAATATGTGTATATGTATGACTATAAAGCGATATATAACCAAGTGCTATTGCTAATATACATATGTATGTGTGTATTGTATATGAATGTGTGTGTGAATTTATAGTGTGTGATTATATGTATGTATTGTATATGAAAATATGTGTGTGTGTATATATGAAAATATGTGTGAATATACATATGTGCATTATATATGTATATATATATATATGTGTGTAAATGAATATAGATAGATATATAGATATAGGTAGGTATAGATGGGGGGGAGGTAGGTATGTGTGTATGTGTGTATTTATATCTACATTATTTATGATATTTGATGGAGTTGCAAACAGCTGTTGAAAAGGAATTGCAGCCTTAGGATCCATCAGTCGAAATGTGGTTTCTAAATCATAAGAAATTGTGATGTGGAAAGTGTGAAAAATACCGCAAAATTCTAATTGTAGTAGTTATCCCTTTATTACCAGCTACTCTACAAGATTGCTCATTATGTTATCAAAGAATAGCAAAGATGTGCTGTTTACTTTATTGGGCCAGCTGGTTTAGCAAAAGTTATTCTGTTGTTGTGACTGAACTTTAATGACATCATTTGTTTCCAATATCTGTAGAATTTTGGGATGGGCAATGGCTGAACATTGGAATGTCCTTTGTCCAACTGTAAAAAGAAATAAAAAAATTCTGCCTTGTTTTTTGTTTTAGAGTTCCTCTTGGTGAGAAACTTTTCCAGAGAGACTTGGAAGTTACCTTAGCTGTATCTTTGAATGAATATTTGGGGAACAAAGATAAAGTTCAGAAAAAAGGTGATTCTTAAACTCTCGAGATAAAAATACCATTTTTATTTACATCTTTTGGAGTAGCAATATGTTATTTCTTGAAATAGTTTATTTCTTGCCTTACTTTGAGCTAATAGAATAGTCAAGTTATACAGAAAGTAGCACGTTTCAGGATTGCTACTTCTGCCAGTCAGGGGCAGCATCCCTTGAAGTGAAGGTGCCAGGAACTCAAATCTGATACTGTACAGGTAATCCTCAACTTATGACCCCAATTGAACCCAAAATTTCTGTTGCTAAGTGAGATGATTAAATGAGTTTTGTCCCATTGTATGACTTTTCTTGCTACAGTTGTTAAGTGAATCACTGCAGTTAAATTAGTTACACAGTTGTTAAGGGAATCTGGCTTCCCCATTTTCTGAAAGTCGCAAAAGGGGATCACGTGACCCCAGGAAAAAAATCCTGATGATAGTAAGCCTGAGTGAGAAGTCATGGTTTACTTGCAAGCAGCTGTGGTATATTATGGAAATGAATATATGTATGTGCAAATACCTCTTATTTGCAAGTGCCTAAGACATCCAGCATTCTCCATTATCTTCTTTCCACATTGACAATAACTTTTATATGAGTTAAATTCATTTTGAGTGGCCCACAACTCTAATCTAGTGATGGCAAAACTTTTTGTTGTGTTGTGCTGAAAGGCAATGTGCACCCCCTTACCTGCACTGCACATGCGCGCGTCTCCCAGCTGATTTTCGGGCCGTTTGATGCCGTTTTCACCCTTCTGGAGCCTTGAGGGAAGCCTCTGCAGCCTCAGGAGGCCGACAAACAGGCCCGTTTTGGCACTTGCGGTATTTCCGTCGAGCCTCCGGGAGGGCGAAAGCGGCCTCAAACGGGCTGAAAATCAGCTGGGAGGCCCGTGTATGCACGGTGCAGGTAAGTTTGGCTGGGGCTTGCGTGCCCACACAAATGGCTCTACTTGCCACCTGTGGCATGCGTGCCATAGGTTCGCCATCATAGCTCCTAGTCTCTGGGCCCATGAGCACGGTGGTTTATTTCCTTCATCTAAATTCTCAATGCTGTTTAGTGAAAACATGTCCAGTTTGGTTTACTGTCCGAGTGGTAGTGATTTCTCAGTGAATGGAAGGTGGGTTAGACCCTTTGAGCCCTTGTTGTTGCAGTGGGTGTAGGGTTCTCTGTTTAGAACGGGGGCAAGGAAAGCTCAATAGAAGCCACAGAGTCTTCTTTGTCGGAGGACATAGCCTCTGACTCTTTTATTCTGAAGCGTCGTCTTCACTGTTTGATTTCAATTCTAGATGATCGTGCTGAACCTAAGGCAGCCGTAGAGGATTTCAAACAGGAAACTGTGTTATGCACACCAGAGACGGACAACGATGGAAATCTATGTGCCAGTAAGATCGACCTCAGAGTGGCATGCAGCATTCTTTCCCTAATATCGTGCCCGAAGTTTGCTTCTTGGGGTTTTCTCCTTTTTTTGTCTTAAGTTGCATTTTATGCCTAGAAGCTTGATTGTAACTATGCATATGACCCTTTTATTTCACCACATTTTTAAACCCAGTAATTTCATACTGACGCACACAATATCTTCCTCCGAAAAATTTTAAGCTAGCACAGCGAATAGAACTATATTCTAGAAAAAGATTTCGTTGCAAACAGAATAAAACAATTATAGCATTAAAATATTTAGTGTGTTACAATGAAGCTGTGTATTAAAATAATCTCTTCTCAGTTCCTTATTGTCAATATAACAAACAGAAGTGCAACCTGGGCAAATCCCAAGGTGGTGTTTTTTTTCCAGAAGGCAATTGGGCTTTGTTGTTATTTTCTTTGAAAATGTTTTGCTTCTCATCCAAGAAGCTTCTTCTGTTCTGGGGAAATGTTGTATGCAATTAATCTGCATTACTTTTTGTTTTTTAAATTATTTTTTTAAATTTTATTTTACATTTCTTAAAGGCGAGAGTTATTTGGTAACCATCCATCCGTATGTTACTTTTTCATCTTTCAATCTCACAATTAGGTCAGGAAAACTCTCAGCCGCTTTTAGAAATTGAATTAGGTTCTTCAGAATCAGTTGGGAAGCCTTTGAAGACCTCAAGCCCTTCGGTGCCCAAGAAGCCCAGCTGGACACCCCCAGGTATGTTCACACTGGTTCAGGATGACCCTGTCTCTTGTCTGCCCGGGCATTTGGGCTCAGAAAGAAGAAAACCTCCCAGGGACATAGCGACGAGGCATTTCTCATTGCAGACGATGTAGCACAGCTGGACCAGAAACCAAGGCTGTTGTCCGTGTCCCCCCCTACCTTTGAATCAGGAAGCTCTGGGAACTTGGGGTATTTTGGGGAGAAAAAATAGTGTGGGCTTTGAGGAATTAATCCTGAAAATGAGCTTATTTATTTTTATTTGTTTGTTTGTTTGTTTGTATCTCACTTCTATTATTTTTACAAATAACATGGTGAACATATCCAACACACTTTCCTCCTCTTTTTCCCCCCCACAACAACTACCCTGGGAGGTGGGCTGGGCTGAGAGAGAGAGAGAGCCTGGCCCAAAGTCACCCAGCTGGCTTTTATGGCTAAGGCAGGATTAGAACTCACCATTTCCCACTTTCTAGCCTGGTGCCTTAGCCACTGGACCAAACTGGCCCATATTGTTGGGGTTTTTTTTGTTTTTTGTTTGCCAGGAACTGGTGTTTCCTTGTGGTTTCTGGCAAAAAAAAGGCATCCACAACGGACAACAGTGGTGTTTGCTTGACCACTGTGGTGTGTGCTTTTTGATTCTCACGTTTGATTAACAGCGGCTACAAAACAACAGGGTGAGGTCACCTGATGGCTCCACTTAATGACCAGCATGATTTGTGACCCTAATTACGGACTCAATTTTGGTTGTGAGTCAAGGACTACTTGTAAAGTATGGCAGCAAGTGTGTGTGTGTGTCTATGAAAGTACCCCAGAATCTGTTGTGATGTACAGTTAGTCCTTGACGTACTACCACAATTGACTCCAGCATTTCCGTTGGTAAGCAAGACCTTTGTTGAGTGAGTTTCACCCCATATTACGACATTTCTTGCCACAGTTGTTAAGTGAATCACTGCAATCCTTTTGTTATTCAGTACTGTTGTAACTTTAAATGGTTACTAAATGAACTGTTTTAACTTGAGGATTACCTGTAGTGTTTTGTGGGGTTTTTTTTTGTTTTTTGTTTGCATTTGTTTCAGGTGCATCTGGAAGCAAAACCAGCCTGATGGGAAGAACTCCTGTTAGATCACCAGTTCACGGTCTCCGGCTTGGCCTCTCCAGACTCGCCAGAGTGAAACCTTTGCACCCACCTTGTGCTGGTACCTAAGAAGGTCTTAGGCTGACACGAGAAGGCTGCAGATTGAAGTGGAAGAGGAGAAATCCGTTTTTAAAAAAATATAAAGGCATCCCAATTTGGAAAAAAAGCTTTGCCTTTTAAAAATGAGTCCTGTAAAATGGGACTATTGTCCCTTAAAATACCCAGCAATATTGTCCCTCAAAAGTTTGAAGTGATAATGCCCTGGGTTCCATCTTCTTTCCCTCAACGAGTTGGCCAACAACGCAACCCAATCTTTCTAGTTTTATCCCAGTTTTGGCCAATTCTGGCTTTTGAGGATTGCCTAACCAGCAACAGTGGTTCAGAGTATCTGTTGACCATCTAGAGTCGAGTGTCTCAACCATGGCAACTTTTAAGAAGTGTGGCCTCCAACTCCCAGAGTTCCCCAGCCAAACCCTGGAGAATTCTGGGAGTTGAACTCCACACATGTTAAGGTTGCCATGGTTGAGAAACATGGTTCTATAGAATGTGTTTTAAAACCACTGTGAAGACAGCATGTCAGGAGTTAGCTTGTTACTCCTTGATTTTACTTCTAATAGAAAACACAGTCATTGCCATCAGTTCACAACTGTTGTTTTCCTGACCAATCAAATGCGTGTTCAGCTTTTAGTCCTTGCAAGCATCACTTGCTCTTTGAATGAGATACTGTAGTGATCAAATATTGTGACTTTAGACAACGAAATAAATTTGTTTTTAGAAAAAATAAGCTGCTTGTGCTAGGTGGTTTCTATTTGTGTTTACAGTCAACTGTACTATAAGTTACAAAGAGAGAGAAAAATAAAAATTGGGATGGGGAGGGATTCAAAAATGGGGAAAGGTTAAGTGACGGGAAAAAGAAATGGATGGATGACAGAGATGATAGATGACAGATAGAAATATATATATATATATTTCTAAGTGCTCACTAAGAAAGAATTTCTCGAAATGACCATCAGCATTAGTATTTCCTATCGTATTATTATTATTAACACGCTCTGATGCTAAGGAGTTCTACTCCCCCTCCCCACCTGAAAAGAAATTCTTCCAAATGCAAAACACAAGCAGAGGAGAGGAGTTTCAGTTTCAGAGCACCAAGCAGCTTTAGTACAGAACAGTTGAGCTAAGCCATGCCCAGGCTCCTTGCTGTCTCCTTGCTCACAGCAAATACTGTTCCATTTCCAAACAGCCCTTAATTCTCTCGCACACTGACAGGATGCTAGCCAGATGAATACCGATGGATGCTGGTAAGCAGAGGCCGAATCCCCCCCCCCCCAATTATTTTCCTCCCCAAAAACTAAGACCGATCGCATAGTTTCGTAGCAAAGGATGGGTATTGAGCTAGTATACTATAAAACCCAATTTGCAAAAAAAAAACACGTGATGTCCCGACAGACCACAAGATGGAGGCAGTGCTCTGCTGTACTGTAATCTTTACAAATTGGATTTCAGTTCAGAACTTAACTGAAGAAAAAAATCTTTGGCAAATAGTCTGCGTGGGCAGAGAAAGGTTAGAGGTAGTAAGTCTTCATGAGATACAGTATGTTTAGTGTCTTATGGCGTGTGCTGTCTGTGATGTTGACATAGTGAAGACGCTGGACCAGGATCAGAGCCCCCAACTCCTGTTCTGACCCAAACCTTGTTCCAAGGAAACAAACACAAAACGGAGGTAACAGCAAAACCTTTTAATGATTCTTTACGAATTGCATTCCTTTACGGTTAAAAGGCTGTTTCAAACTAATTGTCTCTGATAAGAACAAGGTTGTGCAAGGCTGCCAAGAACACGAGATAAAGTTGCCAAGAAATATTTCAAACACAAAGAGTCTCCAAACACAAACTAAGAGAGTCCAAATGTTCACAAGACTTGAATGCAAAAACTGCTTCCTGCAAAGAACTCTGGTTTCTCAGCTAGCTTTTATCTCTTAAGGGAGGGGCTATTACTTTGCAGCCTTACTCCCGAGTCGCCTGTGCTGCTGCAGCTGCTCTTTCCTTCGAGCAGCCCTGTGCGGACTGGGCACAGGCTCCTCAGGGACCTCTTCATCACTGCTGCCAGCCTCCACAATCTCCAACCTCCATTCCACTCCCTGATGGTCCTGGCCCCATCCCTGCATCACACACAGGCCCCTCATCTGAGTCCTCACTCTCCGAGACCTCAGCCGTCCACAGGCTGGCAAACCACAACACCCCCACCCCAACCATGGAAGCACCTTAGAGGTTTTGGCTCAGACCCTCATTCTCTGCCTGGCCCACCACTCAGGCATCTGCTTCTCAACCCCCCTGTATCAAAGAGGACTAGAAACCTAGTTAAAAAATAACAAATAGTCAGTGTGGGAAAATAGTCCCTGCTTAAAGGCAAACTCCTGAATAAAACAACTTCCTTCTTAGGGATGCCCTGACTTCTGAAGTAAAGTCCCTGCTGTGGGAATTCCAGCGATTTTTCATGGATAGCCCTGCCACTTTTTCTTCTCTGACACAACATTTCTGCAGTGAGGTTCTCCCTCTGCCTTTGTTTTTCCTTCTTCTGAGGGCTGGCCTGGCCCAGGACCGATTGTTCTGACCCGCACCCTTTTCTGACAAATCAAACACAATTCAAAAAGAACAGAAACCTTGTAATGGCTTTTACAAAATAGTTAGCTGTGATAAGTACAAGCCTTGCCAAACTGTGCGAGACTTGCCAAAAGATAACAGACAAGAAATACTTTGCAAAACAAGAATCTTCAAATACAAACTCAGGATACTGGAATGTCCATGAGGCTGGAGTTTCAAAACGTTTTTGCCTTCTGCAAAGAAGGTTAGTTTCACAGCTGGCTTTTATCTTCTTGAAGGAGGGGCCGTTATCTTGCAGCCTTCCTCCCGAGTTGTCCGTGCTGTTGTAACTGCTCTTTCCTACGAGCAGTCCTGCACGTATGCGCACTTGGCACAGGCTCCTCGGGAACCTCCTCATCGCTGCTGCCAGCCCCCACAATCTCTGAAGGCAGCAGTCCACTCCCTAATGGTCCTGGCCCCTCATCTGAGTCCTCGCTCTCCTCAGCCATTTGCACCTGCTGCTGGCTAACCACAACACTGATTCCCTAAGTCGGAGAAAGTGAAAAATTAAGTTTAAGCTCTACTACTGGTATGCCTATGGGCCTCTCGGAGTTGCTTTGAACCGTGAAAGGGGTAGCAAATAAATTTGATAAAAAGTTAGTAACAATTGTAACAGGCACCTCCAGAAGCCTCCGGAACACCATTTGAACATCATTCGGCGTTGACAAATTCACCAGCAGTCAATCGCAAAAGGCAGCTTTGCTCAGAACAGCTTACATCTTGAGATGGTGCTTTTTAAGACCATCCAAAATCTGCTTATCCTGGGTCCTTTGGAAGGACTCGACAGGAGGTTAAAAATGCCAAGCCCAGTTTGAACACCTGGCTGACTGTGTGACGAACCACAATAATAAAAGTCTAGCTTCACAAGCGCTTCCCTTCTTTCCTTCCACCAGACCAAAACTGCAATTCATTCTGTCTGATTCATTTTCAATAGCAAACAAAAAACCCCAATATAGTGTTGTTGTTGTGGGATGGTAAGATTTTTTTGGTGTAGATCAGGGGTGTCCAACCTTGGCAATTTTAAGACTTGTGGACTTCAACTCCCAGAGTTCCTCAGCCAGCAAAGCTGGCTGAGGAACTCGGAGTTGAAGTCCACAAGTCTTAAAGTTGCCAAGGTTGGACACCCCTGGTGTAGATGATCACATTTATTTCTGCCAGGATGTCTTCCTGCACCAGAAAAGGGCATGTCAGATAGGCAAGATCCGTTGCAAAGATCCTGCCGACTCCATTAGCTGAGTCCTCGCAACCTTTTCCTTCCAAAGCCCTACAGCCCTTAGAATAAATTGTTCCTTTCCTCCAAGTTCAAGGAAGGCTGCAGCATCCAGATTGCCAGCAGATGGCACCAAATCCTGATGCTTTCTCTCTTTGCTGCCATCTAGTGGTTGTTCAGTGCTCTGCATCCCAGAAAGGTAGCCTTCATTCAGAGAATTCTCTCTTTTTTTTCTATTGTGAGATCATATGTTCGCTTAGAGAACAAAGCTTCTCCAATTCTTTCAATCCACATATTTAAAGAAAGGGGTGCTAGACAAGCCACCTTTGCTCCACCTCCCTCCTCCTCCCCTAGGCTTCCATAACCCTGGCCTATCTGATCAGGTGATTTATTTATTTATTTTTAGGGAGCAAACATAGGAAGAATTCTTCAAACAGGACATGCTGTCTAAATGTAATTCTTTCCATCAGCTTAGTCAACAGATTTGCCTGGCTAGACAAGCTGCTAAGCTAGAAAAGAAATTCCCGGTCAGATGTAAAGAATACAGAATAACAGAGTAGGAAGGGACCTTGGAGGTCTTCTAGTCCAGCCCCTGCTCAAGCAGGAGACCCTATACCATTTCAGACAAGTGGCTATCTAGTCTCTTCTTAAAAACCTCCAGTGTTTGCAGTGACCACAATGTCTGGAGGCAAGCTGTTGATCAACCCTGTGTTAATTCTTCTTCACTGCCATGAAATTTTGCCTTCATTCTTGGTTGGATTTCTCCTTAATAAGTTTCCACCTGTTACTTCTTGTCTTGCTTTGGTGAGTAGGTCAACCCTCTCTTCTCTGTGACAGCCCCTCAAATATTGGCTATCATTTCGTCCTAGTCCTTCTCTTCATTAGACAAGACATTCCCAGTTCTTGCAGCCTTCATCATGAGGTTTATCTTCCAAGAGTCCTAATTAACTTGGTTGCTCTTCTCTGCACTCTTTCCAGAGTCTCGTCATCTTTTTTTTATATCGTGTTGACCGAAACCAGACAGAGTAATGGCCTTACTCCTGCAACATAAAATGGTGCTAAAACTTCACATGATCTTGATACTATCACACTGAATTACACTGCAGCTTTGCCCCTTCGTCTATTACAGGGGCTGGATCCCTCTGGGAAAGGCCTACAGCTCAGGCAAGAAAGAAAATAGAATAACAGAATTGGGACCTTGGAGGTCTTCTAGTCCAACCCCATGCTCAGGCAGGAAACCCTACATCACTTCAGACAAATGTTTATCCAATGTCTTCTTTAAAACTTCCAGTGTTGGAGCATTCACAACCTCTGGAGGCAAATTGTTCCACTGATTAATTGTTCTAATTATCAGGAAATTTATCCTTAGTTCTAAATTGCTTCTCTCCTTGATTAGTTTCCATCCATTGTTTTTTGTCCTGCCCTCAGGTGCTTTGGAGAATAGCTTGACTCCCTTTTCTTTGGGGCAGCCCCAGAGATATTGGAACACTGCTATGTCACCCCTAGTCATTATTTTCATTAAACTAGACATACCCAATTCCAGCAACTGTTATTTATATGTTTTAGCTTCCAGTCCCCTAATCATCTTACTTGCTCTTCTCGGCATTCTTTCTAGAGTCTCAACATCTTTTTTTTACATCGTGGCGACCAAAACTGGATGCAGTATTCCAAGCGTGGCCTTCCCAAGGCATTATAAAGTGGCATTAACACTTCACGTGATCTTGAAATTTAGAAAACGTGGCTCTTCCGAATAGCAGATAGAAAAGAGCTCAGCAGGGCCCTTCAAGCAATGGTGGGATTAAAAAATTTTTTTTACTACCGGTTCTGTGTGTGTGGCTTGGTGGGCGTGGCTTGGTGGGCATGGCAGGGGAAGGATATTATAAAATCTCCATTCCCGCCCCACTCCAGGGGAAAGGATACTGCAAAATCCTCATTCCCTCCCCACCCCACTAACCTGCTTTCCAGCTCCGTTCTCCTGTGCAGGGCAACCAAAGAAGACCCAGCCAATCAGCTGGGACTCAATGGGAGGCAGAAAATAGATGGGGGCGGGGCCAGTCAGAGGTGGTGTTTGCCAGTTCTCTGAATGACTCAAAATTTCCGCTTACCGGTTCTCCAGAACTGGTCAGAACCTTCTGAATACCAACCTCTGCCTTTCGAGGCTGTGTGACAACACAGCCTTTTAAGGCAGCTGCATCGTCCGCAACCAGGCATTCCTATCCTACCCTGGAGGGTTACATCACAGACCCTGCCATCTACAAAACTCCATTGGCCACCTCCCATTGTCTCCCATTGTTATCTCAGAATGCAGCAAATATTAGGGGAGGGGGGAGTTTCACAACCGGGAAAGGCTGCAATGGGAGGCCACCGTTTTGATTGGTGTCTGTAGTAGCGGAGCTACGTCTGCTTCTGGTAGAGCCGGATGCCTCTGTAAATACCCGAGCCCATGGGAAAGCCCCCCAAAAAGAAATTGCCAGCCCCCGAGCAAAATATCCAGAGATCCGCTGTGGAGCACAAGTTGGAAACCGGGGACTATCAGGAGCCGAGTGCCGTGGCTTGCCCTAATCCTTCTGGAGCTCCCCCTGTGGAAGTTGGCGACCCCATTGAGATTTCATGGAAGACTTTACTCTCGGTCCTGAGGTCCATGGAAGAATGCTCAGAAAATATGAGGAGCTCATTGGTGCCGCAGTTCATCACTTCTCAGCCAGTCCTGCCCAGGTGGGTGGACTGTCTTCCAACTCTATAGATTTCAACTACAGTCCGCGAATAACCGAGGGGACCTTTTCCCCCACTTTACCTGAGCATTAAGTTCACAGTGGTTGGCTGTGTTGTGAGTTGTAGCTCTCTTCAAGGGCGATTAAGCCTTGGTGGCACAGTGGTTAGAATGCAGTACTGCAGGGCTACTTCTGCTGCCTGCTGGCTGCCGAATTTCACCAGGGTCAAGGTTGGCTCAGCCTTCCATCCTTCCGAGGTGGGTAAAATGAGGACCCAAATTGTTGGGGCCAATAAGTTGACTCCAGTGGTGGGATTTAAAATATTTTACTTACTACCAGTTCTGTGGGCGTGGCTTGGTGGGCATGGCGGAGGAAGGTTACTGCAAAATCCCCATTCCCTCCCCACCCCACTAACCTGCTTTCCAGCTCCGTTCTCCTGTGCAGGGCAACCAAAGAAGAGCCAGATGATCAGCTGCGACTCAATGGGAGGCAGAGAAGAGATGGGGGCGGGGCCAGTCAGAGGTGGTGTTTGCCGGTTCTCCGAATGACTCAAAATTTCCGCTTACCGGTTCTCCAGAACTGGTCAGAACCTGCTGAAGACCACCTCTGACTGACTCAGTAAATCTCTTAGAGAGGGCTGTTAAAGCATTGTAAAGCAGTATATAAGTCTAAGTACTATTGCTATTGCTAAGAGCCTACCATTGGAGGTTTGCTTTCATTGTTGTTGTTGTTTTTTTATGAGATGCATCCCACAGCTGGTGAGGTTTAGGAGTGGGACAGTTGGTTTCCTTATAAGGCAGGAGTAGAATTCAAACTCCTTACAGGGCAGGAGTAGCATTCAAACATAGTTTGGAGAAATGGACTGAAATAACAGGACGGAATGGAAAAGAAGTGAGTTAAAAAACGCTTCTCAGAAAACCAAGGCACGGGTCGATAGTGGATAGACTGGGTGCTGTCTGCCTTGGTAATGATATGTTTGGAAGGCAGAGAAATAGTAGCATGCAAATTGTTTATGAGCCAATTGTTTGTTGGGGTTGCAGAAATGGTAACTATAATGTATTTTATTTTATTTTCAATTAAAATGTATTTTATTTTTCTTTATGTACATTGAGAGCATATGCACCAAAGACAAATCCATTTCACAAATTCATCCACAAATTCCAATCACACTTGGCCAATAAAGAATTCTATTCTGTTCTGTTCTGTTCTATTCTTTTTCTATTTTCTGTTTTCTATTCTATTTCTATTTTCTATTCTATTCTATTTCTATTCTATTCTATTTCTATTTTTGATTCTATTTCTATTTTTGATTCTATTTGATTCTATTTCTATTTTCTATTCTATTTCTATTTTCTATTCTTTCTATTTTCTATTCTATTCTATTTCTATTCTATTCTATTAGTATTTTCTATTCTATTCTATTTCCAGTTTCTATTCTATTTCTATTTTCTATCCTATTCCTATTCTATTCTATTCTATTCTATTCTATTCTATTCTATTCTATTCTATTCTATTCT